GTAGGAGAACTTCTGGGCGCTGAGGCTATTTCTAGAAGGCCTCTTGCGTAGAACCACCATCCTCCCGGACGTGGTGGGTGTGATTGCACGGGACCTGAGTTATCAGGAGCACGCCCTGCTCAAGGCGTAAGTTCCACAGCGCTTGGCCGCCAGCCGCACAGTCATGGCCTGAGGCCGCTCCTGGGCCTGGCTCCTGGCGCAGGTGGGGGTCTCAGTGGCCCCAGCAGGCGGGTCTGCGCCCATTTCTGTCGGTAAAGCAGCAGAGGGCAAGCTGCTCCCGGAACCAGCAAACAGCTGGCTGTGCCCGCCCTGGGCCAGCGTCGTTCCCCTTCCTCAGAGGACTGTGTACGGGCAGCTCCGAAGCCCAGAATGCAAGGGGCCCTCCGCACACCCCACCCCGCTCACGTACCCGCACCCGCGCTGCCCTGCCCGCCGTCCCATGCACGGTGGGATTCTCAGCAGTCGCAGGCCGGAGCTGGCTGCCACTCCATGTCGGGAGAAGGCTGAGGGCTCAGGCAGGGCCCTGCCTTTGCGCCTACAAGCTAGAGGCCAGGACCACAGCGTGCTGGGCAAGGACACTCCTGTGCCCACTGTGAGCATCTGCCCCGCTCGCCACTGTTGTGGCGCGAGCACCTTTGGGGTGCAGACCAGTAGACTCACTGGCGACACACAGGGACCCCTGAGCGGCACCGGCCTCGTCAGGAGGGGACCCCGCATGGCCTGTGGAGGTGGGAAGACCAGAGCCAGCTACGTGCCAGAATGTTCTGTGCTTGTGCAGGTGTCAGACCCTGGGCCCCGACTATGTGAGTGAGCTGCTGTGCCTGTTCCTGAGCTTCAAGAGCCCAGACATACAGACCGTCGGCGTCCTCCTGTCCTGCGTGGTGGTGGAAAACCTGAGCCGGTAAGTGGCGCCTGCCCCCAGGGCCTATCTCCCGGCGGGCGGACGACGTGAACCGCTCGTGGTGGTGGCGGTGCAGGACTCGCTCCCGTGGGCTGGGCCGGTGCTGAGATGTCTCTTTGCTCCTTAGGTGTCCCTGGGCAAAGTCGCTCCACCCGCATCGTCTCAAGCGTTCACATGCGGGAGGGGCGGTGGCACCTACAGCCGAGGTCCCATCGGGGCTGGTGGGATGTGTGGACAGCTGGCCGCCAGGGACCGCAGGGGTCTGTGAAAGCCGCCTGTGGACTCTCACCTGCCCCGTGGCCTGGCATGGGCGCCCCTTTCTCCACAGGACTTTGGGAGGCCACACCTCCAGACCACAAACCACCTGCAGCTGAGCAAATTCGTGTCTGTTTTAGAAAACTTGTGACTTTCTCTAGTTGATGCTCAGAAAGAAGTTGCTTCCCTGGAAAGACACCAGCCAGGGGAGTGGCATCCCGACTCCCCAAGAGAGCCAGCCCTCGGGGAGCTGGGGCTGCCTCCTCCGGACAGGACAGGCAAGGCTCACGGGCCCCCGCCTGCCAGTGTGGGTTCTTGGGTTCCTGTGGCCTCAGGCAGGGCTGGAGCTGGGGATCCCCAGGAGCCGACAGACCACAGAGCCGTCAGGACGCCCCACGTCAACCAAGGCCGGTTCCCCAAGACCAGGGCCGTCTGCCCATGACTGCCCTGGAGTCATTCGTTGTATTTTTTGCACACACAAGTCTAAGAGCTTAAATTAGTTTTGAGGGGCCAGCCCGGTGGTGTAGCGGTTGAGTGCGCGCGCTCCACATCGGTGGCCCTGGGTTTGCAGGTTTGGATCCCAGGCACAGACCTACGCACTGCTTGTCAAGCCATGCTGTGGTGGCGTCCCACATACAAAATAGAGGAAGATGGGCACAGATGTTAGCCCAGTGCCAATCTTCCTCAGCAAAAAGAGGATTGGCAACAAATGTTAGCTTAGGGCTAATCTTTGTCACAAAAACAAAAACCAAAAATTATTTTTAAAGTCATTTTCAAACTTTCAAAGACTATGTAAAAACTATGTAGTTTTTTGAGCTCTGTTTAACTGAGGGAAATAAAAGGTTTCTTTGGTATTTTTCCAGTGCCTGTGTTCACCTCTGCTGGTTTTGTTTCGAGGGATGGGCAACAAGTTGGTATGTCCCCCTGCGGTCACCAGGGCCATTGTCACTGTGCCTCAGGACGGGGTGGCCTGTGGTCACCCTGAGCGTCCCGCGCCCTCCCTGGGACAGAGCGCCAGCCGGGTCTTGCCTTGTTGGCCCCTGGGAGGGTCGTGTGTGGGGTCTGAAGCAGAGCTGCCTGGGCTGCGTGCTCGTGTGCGCACTGGGGAGCCGTGCGGAGGAGAGTCAGGTCCCCCCACATGGAGCTGGAGCTCACAGTGGCTGGGGGTGGCACTGGGTCACCAGCCTGCCCTGTACACTCAGATGGCCTGGTGACAGAGACCGGCCTCAGCTCTGGCCCTGCCCGGCAAGGCCGTGGGGTCAGTGCAGAGTCGGGGTCAGCACCAGCTGTGAGTCCCGTCTGGCTGGGGTGTTTCTTCCTGCTCCTGCCCGAGCCCTCTGAGGGGACCCCGACCAGAAGGGGTCAGAGCACCCCATACCCCACTTTTTGATTCTTATTCCTGAACATCGATAATCAGCACAAGGGGACCCCTGCCACGGGGCCTTGCTGCTCACGCCCGCCATGGCGCATGGGGAGGCCCAGCTGCACCACTGACTGCTCAGGAGCCCGGCAGGCGTGGAGCCTGGGGTGGCCATTTCCAGGCCAGTGAGGAGCCCCGCTGTCTTACCAGCAGCCCAGCTAGTGGAGCTAATTTCAGAACGGCATCTGGTCTCCCTGGACCTGCTCTGGGCGCCTGCAAGGTGGCAGTCTGCCGGAGGACAAGCTGTCTGCCTCCGAGTGTCCTCCTCCCACTACAGATCCAGACCCGCTGGGTTGCCTTGGGACGGGCCCGAGCACGGGGGGGCTGGACCGGGATGTGCATGGGGGTCCAAAAGTCCAGCCTCCCAGGAAGGTGAGAAACAGGCACTGCCGGGTCCCCTGACGCTCACGGAGGACGGGCTTCAGGGGCTCCCATGAGCAGGCGCGCGTCAGCCCACCAGCACACAGAGTCACAACTTCCATCTCACGTCACGTGACGAGGGATCAGGAGGCACTTCTGGAGCTGGGGCACACTAGGGAGACCCAGGATTACGTTATTGTGGATTTATGGGGGTGGGGGGCTAGAGCCAAGGGCACCAGCGTCCACCGGGGTCAGCCTGGGTCAGCACGAGGACCACTTCTGAACCCCGAGGGTCCACACACTGGAAACAGCACAGCAGCAGGGGAGGGCAGGCCCAGCCTGCTGTCCTGAGGGCGCGACGGCGCTCAGGCACGTTGAAGCACATGACGCAGCCCCGCATGTGGGCCGATTTCCACCGTGACCACAACAGGGCTTTCTGATCCCATGGTGAGAGCAGAAGCAGCACCCGCAGCCGGGCCTGAGCAGACCCCAGGGGTCCATGCTGGTCAAGCCACACCAGGGCTTCTCTCAGGGGCTCTTGAGTCACTGTCAGGCCAAAGCCTGGTCCTGGGTGCCCAGGTCTGCCCGTGCCCTCCAGGAGAAGGCGTGACTGGGTTGGGGGGGCCTGGCTAGCCTGGGTCTCAGTCCGAACCTTGAGCCAGTCCTGGGGGCCAATGCGACACCCTGCCCCCAGCACCCGCCCCATGTGAGCAGCGCCCCCAGCCAATGGAGAGCTGGAGGGCACCCGAGGGGCCGGGCAGGCAGGAGCGGGTGCAGCAAAGCAAACACTGCCGGCCGTCTGCCCTCGGCTCTAAGCCCCACCCCCACGTATCCATAATAAAATAATCCCTAGTTGCCCTGACGTGCCCCAGTTCCAGAAGTGCCTCCTGATCCCTCGTCACGTTGACGCACGAGGGGCCAGGGAGGCGCACTGACCCCGTTTTAACGGAATGAGGACAGGGAGGGCCAGGGAGCCCGAGGGGACAGGGGGCACCATCCTGCCTTCCCAGTGGGGGCAGAGTGACTGTCCACAGGCTCCGGCCAGGGGAAGCACCTGCCAAGGGCCTGGTCCAGGCCTCCTGGGAGGTGCGGGGCTCACCCTCCGCAGGGATCGAGGCTGGGGAGCTGGGCCCTGCCGCCCTTTGTGGCTGCCGTTGCTGCCTGGTGGCTCCCGCCTGGGATGCACCTCCCCTGAGAGCAGGGCAGGGCAAGTTCTGAGAAGGGGACACTCTGGGGGTCGAGGGCAGGGCCAGTGTCTTCACAGGGCCTCTGACTTGGGCTGGGCTGAGGAGCCAGGCAGGGGTGACAGGCCCATGGAAAGGAAGGAACCCCCCTCCCTCCCCAGCGCCCCCAAAGCTGCCCAGCCTAGGGTTAGGCACTGCTGCGCCGGGCACTCACCACCTCTCGAGGTGGCACCTTCCCAGGCTGCCCCCTGGGCACTGTGAGGGCTGGGCCTGAGGCCGCCCCCTGGGCCGGCACAGAACAAGTCAAGTCTGGCTGACCCCAGCTCAGGGCCGACTGAGGAGCAGAAGCACCCCCTGACCCCCAGGGCAGCTGCTCAGTCTGCCTGCCGCTGGCCTGGGAACAGAGGCAGGGGCCAGAGCAGGGCTCGTTGTGGCTCAGCTCCAGAGCAGGGCCACTCACTGGCCCATCAGTGAACACTGCTGAGGCCTCAGAGGACGCAGCACCCTGGCCTGGTCCCCACTACTCCCTCCTGGCCTGGTGACTTCAGCCTGTGAGGGGCATCGGAGGGCACAGTCTAACAGCTGAAGCTTTGGTGCTGGCACCATGTGGCCACCCAGCCCCGTGGGAGGAGACCTCACAGCCCAGGGCCAGAGCTGACCCCGCACTGCCCCTGGCTGCATCTCCCACCCGAGCTGGCAGAGCACCCGCAAGGACGGGTCCCTGGGGTCAGCCCAGTGCCGAGGAGGAAGGCGGGTGGAGGGTGGGGGCGGTGCCAGGGCCTGGCCCCTGGTGGCAGGAATGGGCGGGGCACCTGCCTGGGCTCTGCCCGCCTGTGTGCCCAGATCATTGCCTATCAGTTCGCCCTCGCCATCACCTCACTGTCACTTCACCCTCGCGGCCCCGTCCAAGGTAGGTCTCATGAACTGGCCCCTGGGGCTGAGCAGGAAACTGAGATCCAGGGTTCTGGGACTTGCCCAGGCCCCACTGGTCTGACCTGGACCGTCCTAACCCCCAGCTACCCCTGCCTGTCTGTCTTCGTGCTGAGGGCAGCTGCCCTGCATGTCCCAAGGGGCCTGGCCAAGCTGCGGGGAGGACCCCCTCCATCTGCGGGCGGGTGGGCAGCCAACGGAGGGAAGCTGGTCCTAGTGCCTTGCGAGCCACCCACAGTGCCCGCTGAGAGCCGTGACAGCGCGGGGCACACAGTGTGGGCAGCTGGCTTCGGCAGTAACTGTGCGCAGGCGGCAGAGGAAGGGGCTGCGAGCACAGCTGCCACCCCTGGCCTGGAAGGCCCCAGCCCATGCGGCTGTCAGTGTGTGGGGCTGAGAAAGCCGGCACTAGGGTGGGGGTGCTGGAACTTGGGGTCTCTGGGAGGGGAGCTCCTGCATGCCCCCATTGGCTGTCGCCCTCCCCAGCGGACGGTACCCCCAGGCTCTCACCTCGCTACTGGCTGACCCTCCTATAATCCTCCCAGGATAGAGACCCTCCACCCAGGAGTCCCCTCCAACAGCCTGAGGCAGGAGGTCATACTCATCAGTCTCTCCCACCCCCCTACCCACCCTACCAAGTTCAAGGAAGCCAATCTCCTGGCTCTCAGCCTCGGTGAGGGGAGCAGAGGCTGGAGTCAGTGAGGGACATCCTGGGCCCCTGGAGTGGCGGAGGCAGGGAGTGACCAACCCTCATTTGCCCCCAACTGGCCAGGTCTCCTGGGGTCTCAACCTGTGGCTTTGCCAGGCTGGTTCACAAGCAGAAACTGGGCCAGGTGGGCTGTGGAAGGTTCCAGGGATGACAGTAGACAGCAGGAGGCTGCAGCCTCCAAGTCCCGGACTGCTGTGCAGCCTGTGACCCCCAGATCCTCGGCACAAGCCCCCACGCTCAGGCCCCTGGTTAGAGATGCAAATTGCAGCCAAATCCTCCTAGCCCCAGGATTAACTTGCCCTCTGGACGGGCTCTGCCCAAACAAAGCAGGGAGGAGGAACATGGAGGGGGCCAGGGAGGGTCCCCACCCCGTCCGTGGTAGTCAGGAGTGGGAAGCGGGCCTCACAGCGGGAGGCTAGTGGGACTGGTGTGGGCACCTGGTCCTGCTCTCTCCCAGATGTCTGTTCCTCTCCAGCCAAGAGGCCGGGCCTCAGCAAGGCTTTGACGACGTGTGGGAATGCAGAGCTAAGGGTGGAAACTTTCCTCTGCAGTTAATTAGCCCCATGGTGGGGCAGGGAGGCATGTGGGACTTCATTAGTGGGGCCTCAGCTCCAGGCCCTGCACCCCAGTACTGCCTATGTGGACCTGGGGAAGGGGCTGCATGGGTGGTGTGGCCCCTGAGGACCTCCCCAGGCAGTGGGTTGTGGGTCAGCGTGCAAGGGCGGGGGGTGGTGACTGGTGGGGAAGCAGCATCTAGGGGGTGACTGCAGGCCAGCAGCCCCTGGCTGTTGCTTTCTTCTGTGCCCTGCAGCCCCAGGCTGGCCACCGCCGAAGCTCCCGACGCCATGGAGGAGTGGGATGTGCCCCAGATGAAGAAGGAGGTCGAGAGCCTCAAGTACCAGCTGGCCTTCAAGAGGGAGATGTCTTCCCAGACCATCCCCGAGTGAGTCCCCAGGCCCCATCCACAGGGCCAGCGCCATTTGCATCTCATTTGCCTGCCCACATTGGTGTGCCTGAGCTGAGACCACACCCCGCGTGTCACCATGGGGCAGCACTTCTGGGGGGCCTGTTGCCCACTGCTCACGCCACCTTGCCCACCCACAGGCTTCTCAAGTGGATCGAAGATGGGATCCCCAAGGACCCCTTCCTGAACCCTGACCTGATGAAGAACAACCCATGGGTGGAAAAGGGCAAGTGCGTCATTCTGTGAGGCCCCAGGCTACCCTCTTTGTAAAGAGATCAACTCCATGAAAGTGTGACTGTATATTATAAAGACCTTTCCAGGGTGGCCGTGCTTCTGTACGTTTTATAACAGACAGCAACACTGGGGTGTCTGGCATACATCCCAGGGTGTCGGCGTGGATCAGGGTGTCCAGCGTGGACCCCGGGGCATCCAGTATAGACCCCAGGGTGTCCGGCGTGGATCGGGGTGTCCAGCATGGACCCCGGGGCATCCGGCGTGGACCAGGGCATCTGGCACAGGCCCTACAGCAGGTCCCTGATGTACAGGCTGCGCCGCACGGCATTGGAGACGCCCTCCTTGAAGCGGAACCAGACGTCGCTCCTGCCTACTGCAGTGCCCATGCGCCGCTCGGCTGCGTCCGTCTCAGGGACCCCGTCCTCTGCAGGGGCCACACAGTTGCTCCTCTGCCCAGCCCACCCTGGCCCCTCCCTCCCTTGCCCCCCTGCCCCCACGCACCTGTGCTGGGCGCTGCTGCTCTTCTGACAACCACACGGCCAAAGAAGTCCCTCTCGGGCTAAAGAAGGTGGGCTGGTCAGGCCGGTGGGGACAGGCCCACGGGGACACTCCCTGCTACAAGGGGAGGGCCCAGAGGCCTTCTCCCAGGGAGGAGGGGCCTTGCAGTGCCTCTGGGCAGTGGGTAGTGGGAGTAGATGCCCACCTCCCTCCCCAGGGCTCCTCCTCTAGTGCAGCGCCGACCCACTCAGCAAGTACCTGCCCCTCACAGCCGCGTGCCCCCTGCCAGGGTCAGGGCCAGGGCAGGAGGTGCCAGCAGAGCCCACGCCCCTGTCCAGGCAGGAAAACTGAGCCCTGGTGGAACCCCATCATGCTGAGTGGCAGGGAGCTGGACCTTCAGACAGGCCCCTAAGAGCCAGCCCCATCCCCACGCCTGCCAGGCCCCGCCCCCACACCTGGCCCCACCCCTGCACCTGCTCCTCCAGGGCCGCTCTCCTCAGGATGCGCTCCAGGCGCTGCTCATGGCTGTGCTCACGGCCATGCGGGGTGGGTGGCTGCGCCCCTTTTCCCCCAGCGCTCCCCAGCAGGCCGTCGGCCCTGGGGGGACCCTTGTCCACCTGCAGGAAGAGGGGTGTGGTGAGAGCTGACTAGACAGGGCATACCAGGGCAGTGTCCACTCCAAGGGCCCTGCTCTCCCAAGCCTCGCTCTGCCCAGAGCCTGGGGTGGGCTCACCTGGGGGCTGACCCCAGCCCAGGCCAAGGCCTCCACCCGCCGCATCTTCTCCACTTGGATCTCTCGGGCGATGAGCTGCTTGGCCTGGTAGGTGAGGGGCTTGCGGACAGGCAGCTCGGGAAAGTGGCAGACCTCCTCCACATTCCTGCTCTCGGGAGGAGCAGAGCAGAACACCAGGGACCTGGTCAGAGGAGCTGGGGCAGGGGCTACCCACCACAACAACCTCAAATGCCAGAACACAAGACCTGCAATATGGGGCCCAGTCTTGGCACTGCCGCATCCCAGCCCTGTAGCAGAGGGAACAAGCTGCCCCGAGCCTCAGTTTCCCCAAGGGTACGTGGGCATGAGGAGGGAACCTCCCCAGAGCTGCAGAGGAGAGAGGGAGACAACATGGCAGGGCTGGGGCTCAGGCTTGGCGCTGAGCGTTTGGGAACTGCCCCCATTACTGCCTCCTTGCTATGGGAGAGGAGAAACACCCACAGCCCAGACAGCACCGGTGCCCTTACTGGGCAGCAGGACCCCGGATCCGGGGCTCCATCCCCACGGCCATCTCAGGATGGGGAAACAGCCCAGCAGAGCTCGAGGGCCCTGTGGGACACTGAGGCAGTGAGAGACTGTGCAGGAAGCCTCACGTCCCAGGGCTGTGAGTGATCTGGGGCGACCCCCTCACAGTCACATCTGGGCAAGGGCTGGGCTGGAATGGACACCACCACCACCTGCCCGACAGCTGAGGATACTGAGGCTCACATGCCCTGCCAAGGCCACACTTGTGGACTCCTGGCCCAGTGATTGCCATGGCACCCAGAGCCCAGCTCCCCCACCTCCCTACCCCCAGGGCCCCCACCCCGCGTGCTGCACAGACTCACGGCTCCAGCCTGTAGACATACTGCCCGTCAGGCATGCGCTCCTGACGGTAGGTCAGGCTGTAGGTCAGCATGGTGCCCACGAGGCTGGCCAGCTGCTGCTTCTCGCGGGCACTGTACAGCTGTGTGCTCACCTGTGGGCCAGGGGGCAGCAGGCAGGGACACTGAGCACAGCAGGGGCCAGACCCACCAGGAGCCACACCCCTCTTCCAGGCAAGGCACTCACAGGGCGCATCTTGGGCGAGAGGATGTCCAGGAGCAGGCAGAGGGCATCCAAGACAAGGGCCTGGGGTGCCACCCGGCTGCGGGTGGCTGGCGCGATGCCCGACACCAGCGTCTGGATCAGGTTCTGCATCCGGGTCGTCCGGTTCTGGGCCTGGGGCAAAAGGTGAGCCAGGACCAGGTCACCCAGGACCCCCGGGCCACCCTGGGCATGGGTAGGACACAGGAGCCCACCTCCTGCTGGCTGCTAGGGAAGGTGATCCTTGGCATGTGGCTGGAGGCAAAGAGCAGGTGGAAGGCCACAGGCAGGAAGGGCAGGTAGCGCAGCAGCTGGAAGCTCTGGCCGTGGTGGGCGGCCCGGCCCAGCAGGTCATCGAAGGCCAGCCAGTCGAGGGCTGCACACACGGTGCCCAAGCTGGAGTCCCGCAGCCGCAGCCGCAGGAAGTTGTCAAACAGGCCCTGTGGGCAGGCAGGCGGGCAGCTCCCTGAGCCCCTCCAGCCTCGTGCCCTCCAGCCCACAGCACGAGCACCACCCACTGGGACCCTTCACCTCCCACCTGCCCTGCCAAGTCCAGGGTCTCAGAGATAGCTACCAACACCAGTGAGGGCCACAGGGCCCCTGGGGGGAGCCAGGAAAGCCCACCCTGCCACCCCACTCTGCTGTGACCAAGACCCTAGGACATGCGGGAGAGAACCTCCCCACCACAACTGCCTCGAGAAGCCAACAGGGTCCAGCCTCCGCCCCTCCCTAAAGGAAGCCCTGTCCACCCAAGGCAAGGGCATGGAGCCCCAGCCCTCCTTCCACGTGGGAGTCCCACTTCTCTGCCACCACACGACCCCACCTCGTGGTAGGTTTCTGGATTTACGCGGATCCCCAGCTGCTAATCCCAAGCTGCTTAGTCAGGGAGGCAGCTCAGGCCAGCCTCCTGGGGGTGGGGGCATCTCTACCACCTGCTCAAGCCAAAACCTCACCCTACTCACTCTCAACCCCACATGCACCGTGTCCCCATGCCTGCAGCTCATGTCCAGATTCCAGCCCCTCCCGGCCACTGGGTCAGGCTGCCCAGCCACTGCCGTCGCCTTTCAGACAGTTCCCAACCAGCAGTCGGAGTGACCCCAGAGGTCAGACAACGCCCTGCCGCGTGCAGCCCAAGCTGGCCATTTCTCTCTGGGCACCAGCCAGTCCCTGCTCCTGGCCCTGTCCCTGCTGGCTATCACCTCTTAGAGGGCTCTGCCACTCCTCACTCTCGTCCCCGTTTCTCCTCGAGCTTGGCACCACCTGAAGCGTACTCATTCACTGTCCAGAAACAAGGGGACACAGCCAGCTGCGAGACTACTGACACCCCGGAAAGGCTGGAAATGAAGCATGGTTACCTGGACCACCTTCTCGTGCTCGCCAGCAGAGGTGGCCACGTGCAGAACGTGGTAGAACCGCTGTGAGGCCATGCTCAGGGGCGCCTCGGCCGCGTGGGGCCCCAGGCCAGTGTGCCTGTCCACAAGCAGGAGCACGTGGGTGGGCAGGGTTGGGTCCTGGCCCACGCGTCGCCTGCAGAAGCAGGTGCTGAGGCTGGAATGGAGCCCCCAGGCCCCCTCACCCCAGCCCCTGCCCACTTCACTCCTCTCAGGCACCCTCGCTCCCCAAGGGGTCCTGGGCATCTGTAGGTCCCAAGGCTCTGCAGGCCCCCCAGGAGGGGGCGGGGAGGCCGAGGCAATGCCCTGGAGGCAGGGCGAGTGGCCCCCATGGCCTAGGCAGCTGTGGGTCTCGGTTGGCAAAGGCAGAGCCGGCCTGCACACGCTGGGTCTGGCGTCCCGGGGCTGGGGACTGGCTGTCCAGGCCAAGGCTGGCCTGTCCGCTCACCATGCTGGCCCCCGCCTACCTCTGGACCCGGGGCAGCTGGAAGATCTCCTGCCACACGGAGAACAGCCCCTTGCGCTGATCCTTGAGGCCGATGTGCGTGGTCTGCACGGCCCGCATGCTCAGCTCCCGCTGGCCCCGCCCATGCAGGAACTGGACACCAGGGTGGGGGTGGTGAGCGGTGGCTGACCCTGCCCCATCCCCCCTTCCCCCGCCCCATCCTACCCCCCACCCACCTGCAGAGTGTTGATGCAGGCCCGGATGTCATTGTCCGTCTTCTCACAAAGGGCCGCCAGTGCGCCCGGGTCGGCCTGCATTCCCTGCCGCAGGGAGATCTGCAGGAGACGGGAGGGTGGGTGCTCCCTCTTCCAGAGCCCCCCAGAGCCCCACCCCATGGCCACCCCTTCCCTGGAAAAAGGTGACTAGCAGCTCTTGTCCTGTGGGGTACAAAGACTGCAGATCCCTGTGGACTGGTCTCTGTCTCTGCCTGGGACCATCTACCACCTGAGACCAAATTGGTCCAGTCGCCCCCACCCCCACATGCAGGGGCCAGCTAACAGGGGCCTGACGGCAGAGAGGATGGGACCCTGGGTGGGAGAGGGCAGGGACAAAGGAAGGACAGGGGAGGGATGGGGAAGGGGAGCTCGGGGTCAGGACAGGAACCACATCTTCCCACGCCGTGGTCGGCCCTCACTGACCTCCTGGAGCCGCTGCACGAGCCGTGAGGGCAGAGTGGGCGGGAAGTGGAGTACGAAGGCCTGCTGCTTCAGCTGCCGCAGGGCGGGCGCAAACCTGCGGGGGTCGGGCAGCATCCTCGCCGTGCCCTCCCAACCAGGGGCGCCGGACCACACGCCACAGCCCAGTGGGCACA